TGTAACTTATTAAATAAAAGAAATTTCGAAGTTAAAAAACTAAGAAGGGACTACAAAAAAGCTCCTTTTGGTCCTCCACTTAAAAAATCTTTTTTAATCTTTTTATTTTAAAATTTTTTTATTTAACACGTCATTTGTAAAAAAATATAACAAAATAACTAAAAAAAACTGAATAATAAATTTTAAAAGACAAAAAAAAAGACTTTTTTAGGTAAAGAGTCTAAAACACCCCACTTCATAAAAAATGACGATGAATAAAAGTAAGAGTTTGTATGTTATGAGTATTTTTTTTATTTAATAATTTTTATTTTATAATTTAGACAAAATAAAAAAAAACTCAAAATAATTAAATTTTATTCAAGAGTATAGTTTTTCACGGTGGACTGCCCACTTAAAAATATCGATACAGGGTATAAAAAGACAAAAATGTCATTGATGAAATTTATATTGAGAGATTAAAAGCATTTTTGTTTTTTTATAAGAGGGTAGGTTTATCCGTGTAAAAGTTATATATATTATATTTAGATAAACTTTTGAATAATTTATTATTTTAATTTTAATAATTAAAAATTATTAAAATTTATAATTAAAAAATATAATTATTTTTAATAAATTATGAATAAATTACAAATATTAAAATAAAAAGATGTGAATAAAATTTTATGTAAATATAATATATAAAAATTATATATAAATAAATTTTTATTCTTTCCGTGATTCTAGACTGATGTTTTGCCTTTTTCAAGTGTAGGACGGACTGTAAAAACCATTTACGTAATCAAAGCTGGCTTCTTTTTTTAACAGGGTTTAACTCGCAATAGGAGCACTTAAAAAACTGTTCTTCGTCTCTCTCAGATCTTTTTCTCTTCCTCTCCTCGGAGTTAGAGAAAACAGATAGCTGCCGCCGATCTCCATGGCTGCCGCCGTTAGGTTTTTCATTCTTCTTTTACTCTTCTTATCGTCTTTGAACCCCATCCTTTCTCTCTATGAAGATCAAGTAGGCCTCGTGGATTGGTAAGCTTCGGTTGTTTCCTCTTGATCGTTTCTCGAGAAAATTCGAATTTTCAATTGATAATACTCCCTGCAATTGCAATCACTTAATAATGAAAAGATCGCTTTATTTATTTATTTATCAAGTGATTAAGAGATTGTTAATTGCGCTGATTAATTTGATCGAAATTTGAGCTGAATTTTTCTGTAATTTTGCTCCATATAACTTTCTGATTGTAGGCATCAGCAATATATCGGAAAAGTTAAGCACGCAGTGTTCCACACTCAAAAGACTGGGCGAAAGCGAGTGGTGGTATCCACCGAGGAGAACGTAGTGGCTTCACTTGATCTTCGCCATGGCGAGATTTGTGAGTTCAAGTTACTCTGTTACTCTATTGCAACTCTCTT